TCCAAAAATGAGACAAAGTTGCTGTGCTCATGACTCAAATAATGAAAACTTTTTGTCACGGAGGCGAAACGACCAACTACGGTGGTGCACTTGAGCACGGTGAGCGGCTGACAGACTCGTTGCCCTGACCAAACCGGAAGCCGATGAAATCCAGCATCAATCGTCACGTGAGTTGTTATGCCCCAGACAGGAAGCTGACAAAATCGCACGTGATTATCCCGGGCGAGTAATGATAGGCTTGGCTAAGTGAGCAGACAGTCAGGGCCAATCAGCCAGGCGGCGCAACAAGGTTTGGCGGATGTGTCCCTCCTCGTACCCAATCCACAAGTGTCGATCAAGTTCCTATTCTGTTTTCCCTGCGCTAGGTTGGACGATTGCGCACTCGGAGAGTGGGGCAATACGCATGCGTTGAGGGATCAGGTCAAAAGAAGTGCACACGTGAGTACTCGTAAGCCTCATACTGGGGGAATGCAGACGAAGGTCTTAGCAGTAGCAGAGCACAAGGCAGAGAACAAGGGCGAGGCCTAGTGGTTACAACAGAGGCAACACGAAGAACGAAGCGAGTGTTACAACACTTTCAGATGTCAGAATTACTCCACTTCGAAAGCGCCACCAACAGTAGGGGGTATTTATTCAGAAAGGTAGGCAAGCTGGTATCCTGGGCCGATATTGAAGGTCTCATGAATGACTTAGAAATATCACATGGTCAACAGGAATGAAGACTATTTGTAGACTCTTCCAAATTTCCACTCAAGACAGGTGCTGTTGCACGATGGAAGCCATCTTCCATCTATTCCATCAACACATGCTGTCCACATGAAAGCGATCAATGATAACTCAAGAAAGTTGTTGAATTCCAATACGTAAAACAAGTGCAGCTGGCGTCTTTTAGTAATTTGATGATACTTGCCCTTTTAATGAAACCGCAGCTGAGAAACACACAATACACTGTTTCTCGTATGAGTGGGATAGCCGAGTAAGAGATTTGCACTATTTGTGGAAGAAATTGACTCGCAAATTTTGTTGGAGAGAAGTATCCATCACCCAGCTCTGGTCGAGGCTCACGAAATTCTGCTATCATCCCAACACACAGAGTTAAGTTTGCGAAATAACTTCGTGAAAGCATTGTTGACAATAAAATTTTCAGTTATTTATTTATGTGTGATGGGATTGTGCAAGCAAGCTGCTAGCTTGTGGCAACCGAACAGAGCAGTTGATTGGACGCCTGCACATATTTCGTCTACGTGCTGATCTTTTCGCCGGAGCGGGTTTGTTTCATTGCTTCAAAGGAAGATTCTCATGAGGGCAGCAATGTCGTCAGTTATGGAAATGACTTAGTTATTTATATCGAGGTTGTCATTTTCGCTGAGCTTGTCGAATACACCGGTTGTCCCTGAAGGACCGAGTTCTACGTCACTATGGACGGGACTTCACCAGCGTTCCGATGCCTGCCTGAAAATTCCCTCGCTTCAACGTACCAAAGGCTAATGATAGAGCTTTTGTGGGTTCACAGATTCGACAGCCATTCAAAGATGACACTGCAGGGTGATGTGGAAAAAGTTTGGAATGCTTTTCGCCTAGTATATACCGACAGTGTCGAGAATGTTCCGGCACAATACTATAGGGAACTAGTTGAAAACCTGCTGAAGCAGTATAAGAAACTTGGCAGCAATACGCCACTAAAAATCCACTTTCTTCAATACCATCTGGATTTCTTCCCTGACAACTGCGATGAACATCGCAAATTTTGTGTTATCTCAAAATGCAGGAAAGCTACCAGGGAGAATGGTCCAATATCATGATAGTCGACTACCGCTGGATACCCGCCAGAGATGCGCCTGAACAACTGTATAAAAGACAGGCAAAGAAATCTAAGAATTAGTCTGTTAGGTCACTTTTTATAGGCAATAACTTTTTACATGAAAGGTATTGCTATGCATTTGCTGATGCTAAGAATTATTGCAAAAGCCAAAAAAACTGGAACCAGTTTTGCATTTTGACTGTCATACTTATGTTCAGTCAATAAGCATTGCTAAGAATTGACTAATATCATTTCTGTAACATTAATAAAAACTTGCTTCTCCAATGTTAACTATGCAAATGTTCACGCAATCGAAGAACATTCAGTCTACTCCGCGAAAATTTAAAGTGATGCAATAACTCGGTCGAGAATGTTAATTCTTGCGAGACACACGATCATAGTAAGAATAAAATAGTTGGTTGACTATTCCAAAAAGACAGGTAGAAGTTGATGATTAAAACACACAATACTCCATAGTAACTTCCCTATCCAAAGCCGAGCGTCCGACATGAGTAACGGAGTTTGTTCGCACAGCGCACAGAACTAGACGCTTCTTGGGCTGGTTAGCCGAACAAACTCCTCGTGGTGCCAGCTGGGTGGTTCGGGTTTAACGCGTTCCAGCAAATCGTTCGGCGGTAGTGTTCCAGGATGTGGTGGGCTTTCGCCTTGCAAGCGTTCTTGCTATAAAAAGCCACAAATATCTGCTTAACAACACTGAACTGGCTGTCGTGACTAGTCACAAAATCAAGTCACTGCCCCGTGGATATCCGGATGATCCATTCCAACCCACGGACACCAATCTTCTACTCGCACATTGCTTTCGACATCAAACATGCAAGAATAGAGCAGCACAATTACCAGCACAAACTATGCGGTTCAAGGCATCCGGTTTCGGATTTGCCTGTCACTGCAACCAGCCACAGGACGGCGGAGCCTACAGAGGGACCATGGGTGACTTGCGCTGCACCACGCACAGCTCCAACCACACACCCCATTTCCAGTGTAAACCCGACGGAATAAGACCGGGAGGCATGTGGATGGGAGTCACGTTTCATCAACGGAGCCGGCCCACACTCCTTCACAGACAAACACAAGAACGCTGTATATGGGAAATAACCGCACACAAGGCGGTGGCTGGACTGTAGTCCGTTCTACACTGAATGCATGGAACCACTCTTCGAGCCTAGCACGATCACAAGGACCGTGCACCCCGTCCCCTCCAGCAACGGCTGACTGTCTCCTAGAGCCAGTATGGACGAGGTAGTGGGTAATAGACAGGTAGACACCTTGTCAACATGCACATCAAGCGCAGCCACACCGGGGATATCAAACAACAGCCAACCACTTGTAATGACATTATCAAATAACATATATCTGTTAAAGCATCCGGCTATGGAGACATAACTCTTCCCAAAATACCATATGAATTAAGTTGGTTAGCAACGAATCTGCGATAAGTACAAAATGTCCAGAAGTTACACAAAAAGGTTACAAACTCAATAAAGTTAAGGAGGATAACCATAATTAGCGTAAGCAACGTAGCCACTTAATAGAAGATTATTCAAGTAAGCAGAACAAACCAAATAAAGTGGAATGAAACTTATCCAGCCTAAAGGACACAGCTACATACACACACAACTACATACTTACATAACCTCCTACACAAACATACACTGTTATGGCAAACATATGGGATTTGTGCACATTCTTGATCGTTAATTATTATGTCAAAATGATCATGCCTGTAAAAGCTTGCCTTACCTTGTCGAGAATAAAAGCTTTATTTTATTTTTATTTTATTTTATTTCATCTACAACAGGTCCTGAGTTGGTCAATTACTATACTATGCACTACTACAGTGGGAAGGTAGCAAAAGGATCCATTAGTCCATCCAGTATCCAGTAAGGAACATTTATTGAACTACTAAGACGCTAGTCACGGTCTACTGTGTTACCTTGGTTGTCATCGAAACACTGACAATTACGGCAACAACGAATGTCGCCTCTCAGCCGCTGTGCACCTTATACATCCGATGAGCGAGTTTGCCTTTTCATTAATGAGGCAGGAAAATACTGATGGGGAATCTAAAACTTTCGGCGATCAACTGAGGTTTAAAATGTCTGCGCCACAGTTTCGGCAATTGTCTCATTAGTTAACGATCTACGAGACGGTAGAATGAACTTCAGCCACGGCTGACGCAAATGAAAGACGTTGCTAAATAAGTTCATGTGCATTAGCATCGCAGCTGATGCGATACATGTTAAAACACACCGCTGTGGTTAGAGTCTATTTGACCGACTGAGCGCAAGATGTGTTATGTCTGAAATCGTTTCATAATACAAAAGGTGTTGTCCGGCTCAAGCTGCATGACTACTTGACCACCCAACGGACTCCGCAGCCCCGATTAATGAGATCTGTATAGGATCAAACATCACTGGGTGGATGGGGTGTACAGTGGTAGTGGCGGTAGCTCCAAATATTTGTTCCACCACGTCCAATGATTGCGCCTGCTCCACCATCGCGTAGTTGTCCACTCCCTGGACGTTGATCCAATACGCTTGGGGTACTATCAAGCCGATCTACCTATCAATAGGTGTGTTGCCTATTGAGAATTACAGACAAGTTTTGGATTTCAACAGTTTTATCCCTACACCTTCCGGCCTTAATCCTTTTGGTTTACACTTCATACTGTACGCATGGCCTAAAGTTTGACTGATAAAGCACAGGCCACCTGAAGCTGTTTCACAGACTCAAAATTTCTTCGCAATCAGGGCGAAGAATTAGAAAACGGATAACACTAACCATGTTGTAGTAAACAAAGAAGATTTACTTTTAATTGGCAAACCATACTACCCACCTCTTACCAGTGAAGTCCCGGATGTATTACCGATGCACAGCACGCGTTTGAGATCTCATGGGTCATACTGTTTACAAGTGGGTCACATGAGACGACATTCCTTCGTTCGCGTGCCAATAAACACCGCTGTCGATCATTCCTGCTAGGTAAGGTTACTAAGGAACATGTGCGGAAAGTGGTTCAAATCGAGTAAGACGCTGGCGACGATACATATTGTGAACTGGGCAACTGGGTCTTTAACCTCAAGCATTTCGTGTTAAGTTATGAATTCATCTATGAAATGAGAACCGATATCTGAAATGTACCAATATACTTTTAAAAACTTCAGACAACCAAACTTACTTATCCTCCATATTCATAGACTGCTGCTTAAAAGTTTGAACGCACACTCCTTTATGGTTTGCCCGGTCAAGGAACTCGTTTAGTGCAGTGTCTAGTTGTTTTTCAAACTGTACCATTAGTTTTCGCCGGGTTTCATCCACTAGTTGCTCCAGCACCCAATCTTCGGCCACGGTTTTGTTCACCGAAGGTTCATCCGTTTTCTGTTCTCCGAGTTTAATATACTTGCTTCCTACATGGTTGATCCGCTGATTTGGTCGGTAGTGGTTTGTAGAGGAATCATCGGCAGTTTCTCCAGACTTCAGCGTTCGAAGCCGAACGGTCCCTTCTGCAGACTCTCGGTCTGCAAGTTCACGCATGATTAACGCGCCGGAAGGACGTTACAGCCAACTGCACACAGTTTGATCAAATCTGTTACTCAAGTGTGTCTGGGTTACACGATTGCGTACAAGAAAATGACATGTGATAGATGTAAGTTTCAATCTGTGTGCCGAATCAATTAAAGGTCACGTGTTCGAACTTTCGACCACTAACGCGATGCTCGATTGTCGTCGTCGAGTTGAGTCGGGAGCACCCGTGTATAAGAACGATTTGGCCAACCTACCGGAGAACAGTTTATCGGGGCTGTCGATACGTCCAATCAGTGACGAGGAACAAATTCTAAGCCTGTAATTATTCGGAATTGCACATACACATGTTCATGTCTGTGTTTGTATGTAAACAAACATTGAATGTAAACAGTGAAAGCGGTTCTGCGTATTTGCGCATATTCTTGCGCTATACACCACCTTTGACTACTTTCATTGATAGCGAAATGCTGAGCCTTCGTCCGATTTCTATCCCTGAGTTGCAGAATTAGGGTCACGGTTTTCCGCTGGGGCAATACATGGTTTCATTTGTTTCGTGCAGGCTGACCGAAGCTGATCGGAAAAATTAATTACCAGTGAACTATACTTTACAATGTTCACTCCACCTCTACACTATTCCATCGGTCTTACCGCCAACTGTGACAGGGAAGATGTTATACACAAAATTTTCATAAGTTGTGGAGCTCGATAACGAGCTCGCTGAAGCCCGCCTCCCTAGCAGAGTCAGCAAAACTGTCACAGCTGACCTCTCAAGATGCATATCGCTATTATTGTGTCAACGTATACCGCACAGCTTCCAATCAATCTCACCGCAGGGACACTGTTGTATCTACCGTCACAATCAGCATTGACCTTAACTGAACTCCCCGCAGAACACTGCCACTACGTGGCAACTTATGGGCCACCCAGTAGCCTTCACCATTCTCTGCGCCTTACGCAGTTATCTTATTGAGTTACTGATAGGAAGGGGCGGAAGGTATGACTGAGTTAGTAAACGAACTCCTGCTACCGACCAGTCTTTTCTGGGTCCCAGTACGTTAGTGTGAGGTCACACGTTTCGCCTCTAGTCTCAGCTCGCGTCTTCACTTTTAAGCCGCACTGATGCAAATACAAATAGCTAATCCGTGTGTTTGGTGCTATTAGTGAAAAGCGTTTCGTCCGTTCTGGCTAGGAGAGTAACAACACGTAACACCTCTGTAAAAAAACACTGTCTTTGGAAAGAGAACGAGATGATAAAAAGTTCTTCAACCGGGTACGCCAATTCGTGGAGAAATGTTATTAGCGGATACTGCTGCACCAATCAGCACTAAACAGATCTCACAGCGGTGTCTTGCGTTTGTCAGTTTAACTGTACCTAAGGCAGCAAGTTCACTACTCGAATCGATAGAAGCTTGTCCACCAGGGCTATCGGACAAATTCCGCGGAGCCCAAGCTCAATCACCGGGCACGCGCTCGATTGCAACACTTGCGAAAACCCTCGGGAAGCCATAACAATTCAAGTCAAGAAAGTTTTATGTGCACCCAGAACAGGTGAATATTCCGCCATTTCATACGCTGTCAGCCATATAACATGATATTAATGCAATGTAAAAAACTGGATCAATAATGGAAGGAATACAACATAGTATAAATCGGTTTGTTTAGTCTAGGGCAACTTTTATTCGGCCTAACAGAATTCGCGCTGAGTCCGGGATAATTGACGAACGGTACGCTCATGTACGGGCATATATGGATTTGTACTTGTCTAGTTGACGAGGTTGACACACCTACAGATATTACACAATTGAGGTGTGACTTGTTTCGCCAAGTACTGCTGAAGCTAGTCTCTTGCATGAACAAACATGAGTGGATACAAGTATATCAACGAACATCAGGTTCCATACACGGCTCCATCGCAACAAATGTTTTAACGACCTGTAGATTATTTCGAAGTGTTATAACTGAGGGAACGCCTCTGTTATGATTGCGCAGATGCCTGATAAGATTGTCACTGGCGACGTTGGACCACGCCTATGGCAACGGCCTGGAACGCTGACCAGTCGAACGGATTCGCGCTGACCTGATGGCGTTAGCTTAGGCCGGGGTACGCGCCAGTGTAACGGAAATTGAGCGAGCGTGAGAACGATCCTAGCAGCACGTATTCGGGTAGACGCTGAGCCTTCGGAACGGATGCACACGAAAGGGGGTTACGGTGGACGCGCGTTAGTGACTTAGACGCGAACGCTGCCCGGCTAACGACGCACATAAAATCACGTGACCCGGCCGACTCCCAAATGAGGCGAAGAGGAAGAAAGGCAAATGGCCCTCTGAAGGCGCTTTTACGACCAACAAAGGGCAAATCACAGCCAATGCTATGGGTCATTAAGTTAGGGAATTTAGCTACCACGACTGGGTCGTAGTTTATAGAATAACATTGTCGGTAGGTGCGCAGTTGGGCCGCGTCTTGGAGTGACTGAACACTGCTACATTGTGGGGAGGAAGTAGACCTCGCTTCCCACAGCCATTATGCTGTAGTTTCTGGAGCGTTTTTGCGGGGATATTTGACGGACCCGCAACACCTCCCTTTGAAGAGAAAGCGTACCGCTTTTGACGAGGATTGACCTGGAGGATTTCGGTGACCTCCGGATGCTTCCTGTTCGTCGACAAGACGGGTTCTCCAAACGCTGCAGCGATTAAGCGGCTTCCACCGTGCTCTCTCATTGTGTAGCCAATCCAAAGGTATTCAGCAGGATGTGCAGCTGCAGGCGCACGCGGACGCTGGCTGGCGTGGAGGTTTCTCCGTGGCGCGGTCGAAGTTGATTGCAAAGGCGAACCCAGGTGTCATCACCCACAGAGACATTATGCAGCATGTCACCTCGCCTGGCCGTCACTGTTGCTTTGATCCAGCGTGGATGACCTGCTCGGTAATCACAAGCTTAAACCCGGGCTCCAACGACGAATTCTTTGTGCTTTGTACAGGTACCAGAGTGAATAGGTGGCTTCTCAGTCGGAATGAGCGCTTCGTTGGTTGTGCGTAGCTTGCGGCCCATCAATGCTTCAGCTGGTGACTGGCATCCTGGCGTAGCTGCATTCGGTGTGGACCGGTGGGAGAGCAGGAAGGCTTGAAGACACTCATCCACAGTCCCCTCCCCGCGAGTTTTCAAAAGCGCCCTCTTGAAGGTGTCGACAAATAGCTCCGCTTAACCGTTGGACTGGGGATGGTAAGGCGGTGAGCGGAGGTGTTGGACACAGTGCCGGAGACAAAAGTTTTCCAAGATGGAAGACGTAAACTGGGTACCGTTGTCGGACACCAAAACCTCGGGAAGGCCGTGTTGACTGAAGATTCGTTGGAGACAATCCAGAGTGGCGGATGCGGTTGGTGAGTTGACGGCGACTACTTCTGACCATTTGGAATAGACGTCGACCATGACCAGATAGGAAGTGCCATCGATGGGACCAGCGTAGTCAACGTGCACTCGGGAACACGGTTTTGCTGGCGGATGCCAAGGAACTGGTAATTGGTGTGGTGGCATCTTTGAGGCTTGTTGACAATCCTGGAAGACGGGGGCGGATTGACTGGCTTTGTCGTCGGTTCGGTCGTTTGGTACTGTCGGAGATTGTACCGCATTGCAGATGGCCCGAAGAGGAAGATCGGCCAAGCCAAGAGTTTCGAGCCAGTCGAGGCCAAGCAGGTTGAGCTTTGCCTTCGTGATGTCGCAGATGGTGTTGAAGGTGGCATCTCGGAAGGAGACGGAGCAGTGCAGCTGCCCAGTTAGCTGCACGCGAACACGACAGGTATTGGTGGCAGATTGGGAGGTCGGTTCGAACGGTGGCTTGCCAGGGGATCGCCAGAGATCCTCGGAGATGATCGTGATGTCCGACGCAGTGTCCAACTGCAATCGGACCGACTGACCGTTGATAAAGAAGTGGACAAATTTTCTCCGATCCGCAGCGTTGATTTGGAACATGGTCAGCAGGCTCAGGGAGCCGCCAACCGGACCAGGCTTGGGTGTGCGTCTGGGTCGGGATCTCTTATTTGGAGCGTGAGTGGGAGACAGCCCAGTTTTGGCCCCCTTGGGAGATGTGGGATGGCAGTAACCATCCCGGTGCCCCACGTTGCCACAACCTTGACAACGATGCTGGTGGAACTTGCAGTTGCGGTGGAAATGCCAGACACCACAGAATCGGCACGCGTAGGGTGGGGACTTCGCTCAGTCGGATTGGGTGGGGCGCACGGACGATTTCGTCCTCGGTGGTGTGACTGCCTGGACCATACCAGGTGCGGCGGCGTTCTGGATCATGTTAGAATCGTACTTCAGGTTGAGCAGCGTTTGACACTCCTCGGCCAGGTTCTGGAGTGTGACTGAGCTATCCTGATTTAGCTTGAACAGGAAGTGCGTCCGGATATTGGCATCGTGTGGACACTGGAGGCCAGAGAGGAAAATCAGGCATTTGAATTGGTCCTCGTTGGGTGAACCAAGTGGAAAACTTTGGCATTCACGGTTGACCACGCCCGCGCACATAATGAAGTCGTCGACATCACGTTTGGCCAGCTGCAGACACTGATAACTAGCATTGAACAGTGAGGATCGCTAGTCAAGAATCTGGGACAACGTTCGGACCGTCTCGTCAAAGGTAACCTCGACTGGGTTCCTCGGCAAGGTAAAATTGGTGTAGCGCTGGTGTTCGAGCGTACCAAGTTTGCGAAGAAGCAACCGGACCTTCCACGCGTCGTTTTGGTAAGCCAAGTCAACGGTGAACAGGTCCTCGTACCGCTTATACCATGATTCGAACGTTACCCCGGCCTTGACGACGTACAGGAATTCGCTGATGCCGCTAACCACATGGTCCATTGACTGAGAATTAGCGCTCCGACCTCCATGAAGGGAAGAACTGGAAAGCTTTTCGGTTAAGACGGACATCAACTTAAGTGGTCGCTGCAGCGTCAGTTTTAAATCAGCGTATTCGTCAGTCATGGTTCCTCAACTCTGTCGCCACTGTTATAATTGAGGGAACGCCTCTGTTACGATTGCGTAGATGCCTGAAAAGATTGTCACTGGCACAGCTGGAGCACGCCTATGGTAACGGCCTGGAACGCTGACCGGTTAACGACGCACATAAAATCACGTGACCCGGCCGACTCCCAAATGAGGCGAAGAGGAAGAAAGGCAAATGGCCCTCTGAAGGCGCTTTTACGACCAACAAAGGGCAAATCACAGCCAATGCTATGGG